TGATCCTCCTGCCTCAGCCTTCCAAATTGCTGGGATTACAGGCCTGTGCCACAGTGCCAGGATATGTTTTTTAATTTCTTTTTTGGGTTGGGGGGATATTGAAGATTGAACTCAGGGGCACTCAACCACTGAGCCACATCCCCAGTCATTTTTTTTTTTTAATATTTTATTTTTTAGTTGTAGTTGGACACAATACCTTTATTTCACTTATTTATTTTTTTTATGTGGTGCTGAGGATCGAACCTAGGGTCTCGCGTGTGGGAGGCACTCTACCGCTGAGCCACAACCTCAGTCCCCCAGTCCTTTTTTGTATTTTATTTAGAGACAGGTTCTCACTGAGTTGCTTGGTACATCACTTTTGCTGAGGCTGGTTTTGAACTCACGATCCTCCTGCCTCAGCCTCCCAAGCCTCTGGGATTACTTGTATGTGCCCACTGTGCTCAGCTGTTTTTTAGTTTTTCTTTTGAAAATTTTTTTTTTATTTTTATTTTTTGTCATTTTAGATGGACAGCATGCCTCCATTTTATTTGTTTATTTTTATATGGTGCTGAGAATCAAACCCAGTGCCCCACTTGTGCTAGGTGAGTACTCTACCACTGAGCTACATCCCTAGCCCTCGGCTGTTTTTCCAGCTTAAAAAAGGGTCTTGCTAAATTACTAAGGCTAGCCTGGGATTTGTGATTCTCCAGCCTCAGCCTCCCAAGTTACTGGAATTACAGGTGTAGGCCACCATGCCCAGCAGGTAAATTTTACCTTTAAAAAAAAAGAAAAAACTGCTAGGTAGGTGTGGTGATACATGCCTCTAATCTTAGCAACTCAGGAGGCTGAGGCAGGAGGATCTCCAAGTTGGAGGCTGGTTTCAGCAACTTAGCAAGGCCCTAAGAAATTTAGTGAGACAGTGTCTCAAAATTTCAAAAAAAAGAAAAAGAAAAATGGGGACCAGGGATATATTCAGTGGTTAAGAGCTCTGTGTTCAAAAACATGGTACCAAAAAGAAAGAAAGAAGGAAGGAAGGAAGGGAGGGAAGGAGGGAGGGAGGGAGGGAGGGAGGGAGGGAGGGAGACTTTAAACAGCAGGCCGAGCTCATGCCTGAAACCAAGTATTCAGGAAGTTAAGACAGGAGGATTGCAAGTTTAAGGCCAGCCTGGACCACATAGCTGAGACCCATCTCAAAACAAAAAATGTAAAGGGCTGAGAGGTAGCTCAATGGTAGAGCACCCTTGGGTTCAATCCCAGGGACCACCACTCAAAAGCAGAACAAAAGAAAAATCCTATAAACAAAGGCTGAACTTTAAAGCTATGCACGTTGGAGCCCTTTAGGGGGAAGTACGCTGATGTCTATAGTGACTTTCCATTAAAGTCATCCCTCAGTATCTGTGGAATTGCTCTCACAGCTGCCTACATCCAAAGTCCAAGGATACATAAATCCTTTGTATATAATTGTATAAGATTAGAATACAACCTACACACATCTTCCTGTATATATTATAAAATATGTATTTATATAATGTATACTTATACATAATATAAATATAATATATACTTATATACAATATACAACATAAATATATATTTACATATGTATATAAAATATGTATATTAAAAAAATTTTAGTACTGAGAATTGAACCCAGTGGTGTTTTACTACTGAGCTATACTCCCAGTCCTTTTCAATTTTTGAGACAGGATAAGTTGCTTAGATCCTAGCTAAATTGCTGAGGCTAGCCTCCAACTTTTGATTCTCCTACCTTAGCCTCCTGAATCCTGGGAATACGGGCATGTGACCCTGTCCCTGACTTATTGTATACTTTAAATCATCTTGAGGTTACTTATAATACCTAATAAAATGTAAATCTTGTGTAAATAATTGTAAAATAATATTATTTGGGGAAAAATGACCCCCCAAAAGGTCTGTATATATTCAGTACAGATGTAATTTTTCTTCAATTTTTTTTTTTTTTTTGAAGGGGAGTACCTGGGATTGAACTCAAGAGCACTCAACCACTGAGCCACATGCTCCTGCCTCAGCCTCCTGCTCCTCTGGGATGACTGGTGTGCGCCATCGCGCCCAGCTCAATTATTTTTAGTCTACAGTTGGTTGAATTCAGGATGCAGGACCTTCAGTCCTGGAGAGCCAACGCTTTCAATGAAGACTGCAAGTAAGGATGTAAAGACACTTCCATCTGACCAAGTGTCTGCTGTGGGGGACCTGGCCTCTGCTGATCCTCCCAACCCTCCCAAGCCATCCCCTCTACCTTCAGTTCAGTGGGTCAGCCCAGGTACCCCTGGGCCTCAGGGTGTGGCGCCCAGGGTGAGGGGGCCTGGAAACCAGCTGCTCTCATCTTCAGTGAGTTAATGACTACAGAACTTCCTGATTTGATTGCATAGCTCAAGAAAACCCTCTGGCCTCTCAACTATTCTGCTTTTCTCTTTCTTTGCTGGTAGTTAATTTTTTTTTTTTTTTTTGACTGTGGTCAAGTATTCACACATCTTCTTTATCAGATTGTTATGGAGGCTGAGGCTTCTTTGTTCACCATTATTCCCTATAGCTGAGTTGGTGCCGGGTCCATGAATAGTTAAGCACTGAAAATAATGTTTGCTATGCTGGGGATGGTGCCATGGGTCTATAGTCCCACACACTCAGGAGGCTGAGGCTGGAACATTGATTGAGCCCAGGAATTGGAGGCCAGCCTGAACATAGTCTTGAAAAAAGTAAATAGTTAAAAGGCAAATTAGAATAAGATACCACTTTCATTTGAAAGATGGGCAGTTTTAAAGGATTGGCCATATTGAGAGTTTGATGAGGACCTGGAAAAAACAGAACACTTGTACATATTATTGCAATAGGTAGGTTGAAGCATTTGTTCAAATGTACAGTGTTTGATAAACATTGATCAAGCAATTTCATTCATGTGTATTTCTTCTATAAAGCACAGAAGCACAAATATATACAACAGCGTTCTCAGAAGTTGTTCCAAGTATTATAGACACCTTTCAGGAGGAGATTGATTTAAAAAAAGGAGAGCACACTCATAAAATGAAATTCTATACTATGCAGCCATTATAAGGAATAGTTAATATTGGAAATGATGACTGGTAGATATTTGGTAAGAAAAGTTGTAGAAAAGTGTAAAGCATAATTCCATTATGTTTTTTAGAAACCCTACACATGTAAATGCAAACAAAAACTATAGTATTTTTTAAAAATGAGAGTAGAAAGTAAATAAACCAAATTGTTAATTAGGATTACCTCCCAAAGTGGGGATGGCCATGTTAGGGGTGGATGAGGGAAAGAGGCATTTCCACTTTTGTTTGTTTCTTTAAATTATTGAAACAAGCAGGTCTTACAGTTTAAAAAAATATATATACTTAAAATACCCTAAACTCTTGTTTGCAGAAAAAAACTCTAAGGTAAGGTATATGTTGCTTCTGCTAAAATAAAGCTACAATTCTTAGCAAAGCACTGTGGCAAACAACCTGTAATCCCACTCTGAAGACTGAGGCAGGAGGGTCTTAAACATAAGGACAGCCTTAGCAATTCAATGAGACCATGTCTCAAAATTAAAAGGCTAGGGATGTAGCACAGTGGTAGGATTGAACCCCTGGGCTGGGTTCAATCCCCACTAAAACACACACACACACACACCCGACACACGCTTGCTTTTTCTTTTTAAAGCTAAAACTTTTGAGTGTACCCCCCCCCCCAAAAAAAAAGCCTTAGGATGAGCTAACATCCATGGATCACCTGTATGTCTTTATCGAAGACTTTAAATTCTACTCAAGGTCTGAAAGAAGAAGCTACAGTTAATGAAAGTAGGTCTGTGTTTATCATCACTAGCAATTAAAGAAATGCAAATCAAAACCACTGTAAGATTTCATCCCACTCCAGTCAGAATGGCAGCTATTATGCATACAAACAACAATAAGTGTTGGCGAGGATGTGGGGAAAATCGTAAGCTCATACACTGATGGTGGGACTGCAAATTGGTGCAGCCAATATGGAAAACAGTATGGATATTACTTGGAAAATTGGGAATGGAACCACCATTTGACCCAGCTGTCCCTCTCCTTGGTCTATACCCAAAGGACTTAAAAACAACATACTACAGGGACACAGTCACATCAATGTTTATAGCAACACAATTCACAATCACTAAAGTGTGGAACCAACCTAGATGCCCTTCAGTAGATGAATGGATAAAAAAAAAAAGTGACATATATTCACAATGGAATATTACCCAGCAGTAAAACAGAATAAAATCATGGCATTTACAGGTAAATGGATGGGATTAGAAAAGATAATGCTAAGTGAAGTTAGCCAATCCCCAAAAAAAACAAATGCCGAATGTTTTCCATGGGAGGAATAGATGAACTCTAGATAGGGCAGAGGGGTTGGAGGGGAAGGGAGAGGGCATGGGGTAATTAATGATGGTGGAATGTGATGATCATTACTATCCAAAATGCATGTTTAGGGGCTGGGGTTGTAGCTCAGCGGTAGAGCACTCATCTAGCCCATGCGAGGCCCTGGGTTCGATCCTCAGCACCACATAAAAGTAAGTAAAATAAAGGTATTGTGTCCAAATACACCTAAAAATAAATATTTTAAAAAAGAAAAAAGTACATGTATAAAGACACAAATCCGTGTGAATATACTATGTATACAACCAGAGATATGAAAAAATCTGTCTATATATGTAATAAGAATTGTAATGCATTCTGTTGCAATATATAAATAAAAATAATAATAATTAAAAAAAAAGAAAGAAAGTGGGTCTGAAGTTCAGGGGTGGGCATGCTCCCAGAAAGGAAGGGACTAAGAACTTATTCTGCTTTTCCAAGTAAAAGATCTTCCCACAGAGGTGCTTGGAGCTCTGAACAAGTTTCCATGGGTACTCCTCTCTTCTTCGATTTATTAGCTAAGATCTAAATCTCAAAACAAGGAGACCAAGAAGCCCTGGGGTCCCTGTTATTCCCATCTCGGCTTTGAAAATATCGAGCCACCTCTCATTTAGGATCATCTTTATGACGAGGGAAGGGGTGTGAACACAGGCGGCGCGGGCCCTCGCCACCGTGTCTAGAGCGTGCGTAGGAAGGGATCCGGTTTGGCCCGTAGCTGGCGGCCCCCGCGCGGGAGGAGACGCAGCGGTCCCTGTCCTCGAGGCCTCAGATGTCAAGCCTTCTCGTTCCCCACCGCGGGGCCAAGGGGGAGGCTGCAGGGTCATGTTCCCCGGACCTAGAAGGGGGCTCCGCCAGCTTGCAGAGGAGGGTCAGGGCTAGAACCCAGGGACACGCTCGGCCTTCGCCCTCCCCCGCCAGCTTCGGGAACTTTCTGGCATCACTTAGCCGACTGGGTGCTTTGTCCTTTGCCGACCCCAACATTATTTAGCAACCAAACCACAGCCGGGCCCAGGGTGAGGGTCTTCCAGCCCAGAGGCAAGTCGCTAGTTCCTTTTAGCGGAGGGGAAACGGCGGAGGACGACTGGGGTGGCTAGGAACCGGCCAAGGTCACCCACCTTTACAACGGTTTCCCCCACCCTAGATGTTTTCATCTGTGAATGTGAATAGAGTTAAGCTCTCCCTTTTCTTCTTCAAAGGCCGGCATGCGGAATAAAAATATGGTCGTTGAGCACCGGTACCGGTTTGGACTTTGGTTTTCAGAGCCCAGTGCTTCCAAGGTCACAAGTATTAGAAGGCTCACAGGAGACGATACGGGGTGGGGGATGGGGGTGGCCCTTTGTGGTTGAAAGTCACTTAAGGAGTAAAAGCCCCAAACGACCATCTCCTTACTAGGTGTCGGTGACCAATGTCCACCTGATCACCTGGCAGGTTTGACGCCACCCTGGATCAGGTTCATCTCTTAGGAACTCGAAACCAGAGACAAGAGCGCAAATCTAGGATGGGGGTCCCCGCTTTGGGGACGCCTGTTCAGGGAGGGTGTGAGCGCAGAGGTGATTACTAGCGACCCTTGCCCAGCTTTGGGCTCACAGAAGCCGCAAGCCTGGAGCGGCAATAGTGCCAGCCTCAGAAAGCGGGTAGCAAGCGCTCTCCACTAGAATCCCGGGAGGGTTTGGAGGACTGATGAGTTAAGTGGACGACCTCTGGGGACCCTGGGGCGATTCGAGTTCCGGCCAATGACTGCGGTGGGCGGGGAGAAGGTGGACCTGGGAACATGCGTGGGCCGGATCCCTTCCCTCGCCCTCTAGGTGCTGGCGGCCCCGCCCGCCCACCCTTCTTTTTAAACCCGCTGGTCCCTAGAGGCTTGCCGGAAGTCTACTAGTCCCTAGCGCACGCCCAACTCCTGGGTCCTGGACAGTTGGATTCCCAGAGGTAGGTGACCCTGGGTAGGTGACCCAGTGTTCCAGGCTGCTCGCTAGCGCAGTTGGTTTGGATGGTCTTTTTTGTTCTCGCGGGGGCTTTTTCTCCTAATGTCTTTCGACCCCCAAGTTCCGGATCCTTGGGGTCGGACGTGGCCGGGAGGAGGCTGGGGAGGAGACCGGGAGATGCGTGTGTCGGCTGACCTCTTCTCCTGACCCGGTGTTCTTTAATTTCTGAGTCACGACCCTGGTTGGTTTCTTTATTGGGCTCATTGATCTTGTCCTGAAGACCCGCCAGCCCCGAAGGGGCTTCAGATTCCTCAGCCTTGGTGAACTTGCTGCCCTTCCATTAAAACACAGTTCTTTTCCCGGCGGGGACCCTGGAGGCAGCGCGGGGACGGGCTTCTTTGCCTCCCTGGTCTGGACCTGGACCTCGCTGGGTCCGGAGAGGCGACCTGGTTCCCCTTAAACCCTAGGTTGGGATGACTGGAGTTTCCGAGGGAACTGGGAGATGTGGAGGGACTCCGCCGGCGTGAAAAACAAGAGGCCTGGCTGCGAACTCCCCGGGAAGCCGAAGCTGGTGCTCAGCTCCCCTGCTTGCAGCCAGGACACCAAGTGCTTCGGGTTATACCGCGGGGCTTGCAGCCCGGCACATATTCCTCGGACTTTCTTGGAACTCTTGTCTACACTGTTCGACTCCGGACCTTTGGCTCTTCTTTCCCTGCTAGGGACCCGAGCGTGCCTGGAGTGACCGCCTGTCCTGAAGCCCTAGCACGGTTTTGCGCGAGGCTCCCGGTACCCGCTCCGCTGGTGGAAAGGTCCGGTGGTTCAGACTGGTCCTCTTAAGAGTTTTGTTGAACAGGGAAGGAGGGAACAGAAATTTAAACCAGTTTGCCGGAACCGGGTTGGGGGGTCGAATGCAGAGAGGGGTGTTGGAATCCAACAGTGCTTGGTCCAGGTGCGTTTGGAGAGGAAACGCGAAGACGATAGTATCCAAGAACCTGGAGTCGGGCGGGATCCCGGCCAATTTTCGTTTGGTGATTTTTGTATTTGTTTTTATTTGATAGGTCTGGCGGGATCGAATTGGGAAGTTTATCCAGTTACCTGCGATCTGGGGTAGACTTGGGTGGAAGAAACCAGGCGGGCAGGAGCACCGCCAGGGACGCGTTTGCTTTCCCGCGGACTCGCACAGCGTTGCCCGCAATGGCTCTGTGGGCACCAGGTGAAGCCGAGCTCCAAGACAAGGTGTGCTACCCACTCGAGAGGTTCCAGAGCACCCCCCAACAACTGGCTGCCTACTACCCGCCTTTTTCTGCCTATGGGCACTACAGGAGTGCCTTGTCCAGCACCGAGGAGGATTTCCAGCCGCTAGGGCGTCTGGAGGCAGCGGTGTCTGCGTCCCAGGGGTTGACTCCTTTCCCCTTCCCGATGGCACCTCCCTTGTTGACCTCGGATCTGGCTCTACAGAGGGAGCCACTCTGTGATCTGACTTGGTACAGCAAGATGTCACTGTGGTACCCAATTCCTCACCTCCCCAGGGAGGTGCCACACTTTCCGAGTAGCCATGAGTACTCCAGTGCCAGCAACGAAGATTTGGTCCCCGTTGGTGGCCGCAGCGACAGTGGCCAGGGTTGTGGACCTGATACTTCAATTCCGCCGCTTCCTAAGGAGGCCTCCTTGTCATCGGAGGGGCAAAAGACCTCCCAGTTAGCATCTCGGTCCCCCAGCAAGAGATTTGAGGATGGTCCCAAACAGCTAGACCCAGAAGGGAAATCACCTCCTCCTTGTTTCCACTTCACGAAGGAGGACCTGCACTTCGTTCTTTATGGGGTTACTCCCAGCCTGGAACAGCCAGCCCGCTTCCACTATGCGATTTCCGGCTTACTCGTCCCCGCAGACAGTTCTGGTAAAGGGAGTTCACACCATCAGGAGTTGGACTGTATGGGAACAGGGTGGGAGCCAATAGGTTGAGAGTCAGCGGAGTGGGGGGTGTTAGGCTCTACTTAACTGCATAATCCCTAAGATTGGTTTTAGTAAAAGCTGAGGACCAGGAAAGAAATGGTTCATGCAGAAGCCTTGGGGGCGTGCAAGTTTCTATACTGCAGCCTCAAGTTCTGCATACTTGGTGCCAGTCTAGCGATCTACCTTGACCTTAATTAAGAATTATCTCCGGGCTGGGGTTGCGGCTCAGTGGTAGAGCACTTACCTAGCTAGTGTGAGGCTGGGTTCGATTCTCAGCACTGCGTATAAATAAATGAGTGAAATAAAGGTTCATCAGCATCAAAAAGAAAAAGAAAAAAGAAAGAAAGAAAGAAAAGAAAAGAAAAAGAATTTAAAAAAAAAGAGAGAGAGAGAGAATTGTCTCCAAGGCTGGGGATATAGCTCAGTTGGTAGAGTGCTTGCCTTGCATGCACAAGGTCCTGGGTTCAATTCCCAGCACCACAAAAAAAGAATTATCTCTGAGTCTCAAGTTCGCAAAATGGAATTAATTACTTCCATGGAGGATTGCTTTGGGTCTCAGATGAGAGATTATGTATGAAAAGCTCATGGTAAAGAAGCAGGAAAAAATAATAAAGAATAGATAAACATCAAACTCAGTGATGATTTCCTCTAAAGAGTAAGGAGGGAAATTATAAAAGCATTTTCAATATATTTTTAATTGAAAAAAATTTTTAACCCTCCCTTTTTCCTAGGGTCTGATCATATTCCTCAAGTTCTGGATAAAGACTCCCTTCAGCTTCCAGAAGGTGGGAAGCAGTCCTTGCTTGGATTTCTTTCTCTCAACTAATATGGATCACTTTCCTTATTCATTTTTTTCCTGCCTTGGGTTTCTCCTAGGTCTCTGCATCATGCAGATGATGTTTGGTGAAATTCCACATTTTGGTGTGTTCTGCAGTAGCTTTATTGCCAAAGGAATCAGGTTTGGGCCCTTTGAAGGTAAAGTGGTCAATGCCAGTGAACTCAAGACCCACAGAGACAATTCTCTGATGTGGGAGGTAAATATCTTCTGGTGTGTCTGCTTTAAGTGGGGAGAGAGACTTGGAGGGAGAAACCTTGTCCTTTGCCTCTGCAATAGTCATAGGGAGAAGGGACAGCAGCTGCTCACTTCATCAGAGGTATCTGTGCATGAATTGTTTGATGTCCCAGATCATTTTAATCTGTGAAGATTAGCCATTGAATATACATGTAAATTTTTATTTAAAGAATTAATATGTTTTGTTATATTTGTAGAAAGACTAAATGCTTTAAATATTGTAGGGTGCTTAAATTATGCTGAAGGCAATAAAAGTGGATTTTAGACTTTGATATTGTTTACCTATAAAATTAGCAGAGGGTTTATGAATTGATACTCTTCAAGCTAGTGACAGTATATGGGGCGTGCTGGTGACACTGCACTTTGTTAATATGCAGGAGAAAACCATTTATAAGAACTACTAAGTATCTTAAAATGTTCAAAACACTTTCATGGGGCTGGGGGTGGGGCTCGGGCTCAGTGGTAGAGTAGTGCTTGCCTTGCACATGTGAGGCACTGGGTTCCATCCTCAGCACCACATAAAATAAGTAAATTAGTAAAACAAAGGTATTGTGTCCATGTTCCACAAAAAAAAAAAAAAAAGTGAACTTGCTGTGCTAGCAGTGGAAAAAGAATTCAATTACGGCTCCATCCATATTGTTGAAAACTAGATAGAAATCAATCTGTTTTTAAGTGGTGGGGTTAAATGTTTACCTTCCCTCTTCACGAAATTAACATAGGCTTACAAAATTTGGGAATCAACAAAGCCATAGGACTGGGTGTGGTGGCATATGCATAGGATCCCAGTGACTCTGGGAGGCTGAGGCAGGACAATCAAAAGTTCAAGACCAGCCTTGACAACTGATTTTGAGACTGTATCTCAAAAAATAAAAAGGGCCGGGGATCTGGGGTGGTGGCTCAGTGGTAGAGTACTTGCTTAGCATGTGTGAGGCACTTAGTTTGATTCCCAGCACCACATGTAAGTAAATAAAATAAAGGTCCATTGACAGCTAAAAAATATTTTTAAAAATGAATAAATAAAAAGGGCTGGGCATGTAGCTCAGTGGTAAAGTGCCTTGGGTTCAATCGTCAGTATCCAAAACAAAAACAAAAGTGATAGGATTAGGAGTTAGATTAGTCAGTAGTAGAGTACTTGCCTAGCACAGACAAAAGTGTTGGGGATTCAGTTGGGTTGGATCCCCAATACTGGGGGGAAAAAAGAAAGAAGAATGAAAGTATGGATCTTTTAAAAGTATGTCCCCTATGGAGATGTCCTTAAGCTAATAAATTTACTTAGGCTTACACAGATTTATATAAATTTCTTTTAATGATACAGAAATCTGAAGTAGCTAGGCATGGTGGTTCACACCTGTAATCCCAGTTAATTGGGAGGCCAAGGTAGGAGAATCACAGGTTTGAGGCCAACCTGGGCAACTGAGTGAGAATTTATCTCAAAATAAAAAGGGATGTGAATGTAGCTCAGTAGTAGAGTGCTTGCTATCACGTGTAAGGTCCTGGATATTGTCCCTAGAACCACAAAAACAAGACCCAACCCTGATATACAGAAGTATATTTGGTAGACTCCAGTGTAAGATTTGGATTATTGTTAATACCATTGAGATAGGTTCTTGTTATGATACTCAGGCTGGCCTTGAACTCCAGTGATCCTTCTGCCTTAGCCTCCCAGTTAGCTGGGACTACAGGCTCATATTGCTATGCCCAGCCTTTGATGTTTTTTTGTTTGCCTAGAAAACTATATACATGTAATAAACACAATTCTTTGCAGCACTGGAGATTGAACGTAGGGCCTCATACACACGAGGAAGTGTTCTACCACTGAGCTATGCCCCTAGGCCTGATTATTAATTTTTACTACATTTATTTTATAGATTATGCAGAAAAAGAAAAAAAGTACAAATACAAACTTCATGTCTTATTTCATTTAGGTCTTTGAAGGTGGTAATTTGAGCCACTTTATAGATGGAAAAGGTACAGGGAATTGGATGACCTATGTCAACTGTGCCCGATTTCCGAAGGAGCAGAACCTGGTTGTCATACAGTGTCAAGGGCAGATATTTTATGAGAGCTGCAAGGAGATCTACCAGAACCAAGAGCTCCTTGTGTGGTATGGAGACTGCTATGAGAAATTTCTGGATATTCCTGTGAGCCTTCAGGTCACTGAGCAGGGCATGTCGCTATCTAATCCTTCTGAAGGTGAGCACCCATCTGGACCTTCTGGTGGAAGAACTGGGCTCTTTTCCTAAACCTTCTTTGCAGAGCTTCTCCATCCCAGGTGTGATGCATAAGGCTAAATTGCAGATGTCTCTAAGGGGGTCATCACCCAGCTGGAAGAAATTGTTTCTTCTTTCCCAAGCTACTTCCATTCCCAGGACATCTTTTTTTTTCCCCACCCCTTCTCCCCTTCCTGAGAATAAAAAAAAAGTGAAGTAAATGGATGCCACTTTTGCCTTAGGTGAGTTGGGTTTAATCTCTGCCCTGATAACAATCCTGATAAAGAAAAAGTGCTTAGAGCAGTGTTTTTTAAATGGTGGGATGCAGTACCTTAGTGGGGTAGGAAATCAATTTAGTGATCAAGGCCAGCATTAAAGGAAAAAGAATAGGAACAAATTAGAAGAGAATATTGATGGGAATCACTTAAGAAATAAGCGTTGCTTTGTGAAGTTTTTGTTTCAAAGGGATACATCCATGTTGTTGTCAAGTATGAAATGTATTTACCGTGTGTCGCAGGCAAGTTGGAGAAACATTGAGCTAGGCTTTAGTTCTCAAACTTGAACCACCTGGGGATCTTGTAAATTTGTCAGTTCTCATTCAGGGTTGGAGCCCACTGCACATACGTGTTTGTGTGTGTGCGTGTGTTTTGTAGTGCTGGGGATTGGGAACCCAGGGCCTGGCACATGGCTGGTAAGCACTCCTACCCTGTATCCCTAGCCCAAAACTCTGTATTTCTATGGGGATGCTGCTGCTGCTGCTGATGGTCCTTGAATCACATTAGAGTAGCAAGAAGTTGGGGACCACCAACACTGGGAGTGAGCCTCTGAAATCCATTTCCCACCCCCATCCTAGGCTGGGGATAAGAACCCAGATTCTCACATGAACCAAGTGCTCTATTATTGGCCTACATCCTAGGCCTGGAATTTGCATTTTTAATTGATTTTGTGTTTTTCCTTACACATACAAATGTTTGGGAACTACTAATCTACTATGTGGCACAAGACTAATTAGATTATTATGTGTAATAATATAATATCATAATATAATAATATAATATCATTATGGTATAATAAATGTACTAAATCACAGACTAAAGAACATGTGATTTGCTGGATGCCTTGGCACTGGCCTGTAATCCCAGATACTCAGGAGGCTGAGGCAGAAGGATTGAAAGTTAGCAAGACCCTGTGTCAAAACAAAAAATGTAAATTTTTAAAATAGGTTGGGGATGTAATGTAGCTCAGAGGTTGAACGCTTGCCTGCCATGTGTGAGGCCCTGGGTTCAATCCCTAGTGCCATGGGGGGAAAAGAAGAAAAGAGAAGAATGCTAATTAACTTACAAAATATAATCATCATCCTTTTGAGAAATTATTTTTTTTAAACTGAACTATTAGCTGGGTATGGTGGTACATACCTGTAAACACAGCAGCTTTGGGGGCTAAGGCTGGCAAGTTCAAAGCCAGCCTCCACAACTTACAGAGAACCTAAGCAACTTAGCAAAATCCTGTCTCAAAATAAAAAGGGCTGGGGATGTAGCTCAGTGATATTGTGCCCTTGGGTTCAATCCCTGGTACCACCCCCCCAAAAAAAAAAAACCAATAAATTGTCGAAAAGGAAAAAAAAGCTTTGTCCTTGAGGATTTTTACTACAGCATCATCCATATTAATGAGAAATGAAGACAGCCTAATTGCTGAACAGTAGAATTGTCATTAGGTAAACCATAATATATTGTTACCATAGCAGTATGCAGTTGTCTGAGGTCACAATTATAACAAGCAACAGGGTAAAGACTTATGGTGGAGGGAAAAAATAACATACAGTGGGTGACCCATGTTCCAGTTCTGAACCAAACTATGTTTACAGCATTATTAGATGACCTGTAATATAAACATTGTTTGGAAGGGAACTTTTATACAACTTAATTTGTTGGGAAGACTTGTAGATGAATTCATTATAGATGTTTTCCATTAATATGATTTTGAACCCAGGTCCTCTCCCATGCCAGGCAAGTGATCTACCTGTGAGCTACCACCCCAGCCCAATATTAATTTATTTTGACATAAGAAAGAAAAAGATTACAGGTGCACACCTGTAATCCCAATGACTCAACTGGGGAGGCTAAGGCAGGAGGATCCCAAGTTTGAGGCCAGCCTTGCAATTTAGTGGAACCCTGTCTGAAAATAAAAGAAAATGGGCTGGGATGTAGCTCAGTGGTAAAGTGCCCCCTGAGTTCAATCCCTAGCACAAAAAACCCCCAAAGATTCCTCTGTGGTACTCTGTCAAAAGAAGTGTGTGTGTGTGTGTGTGTGTGTGTGTGTGTCTGTCTGTCTGTCTCAAAGGCTTTTTGGTGAGGACTTGTCTTGAGTGAGAATAAGATCTTGAGTGGGGAGGGAAGGGTCAGGACCCTATGTGGGTAAGTTATTTGAGTGTGTGTGTGTGTTGGTGGAGGTGTGGGACATGAAAAAAATCTTTTTTGTTATGGTAAGAACACTTACCATGAAATCTACCATCTTGAAGACAACTCTTAATCATTACTAAACAATATAAACTGTTTGGGCAGAAAGTATCAATATCAGTGTTGGGAAACCCCTTGGCTTAAATGGAATGGTTGATTGCATTAGGAGGAAGAAAAAGGAAAGAAACACAATAAAATCAGGTTAAGGTACAGTTCCAAAGAACTGATCAGGAAATGGAGTTAACTGAGGCTCAGTAAGGATCACTGTTTTATTTCTTCCTAACTAGTTATTCTTATGAGAAATCAGTATTAGACCCTTTTTTTTTTTTTTTTTTTTAATTTTGGTGTTCTTTGTAAAATGTTTTGATTTGTAGAATCACTGACCAGACCTAGTTTGAAGAACCTCTCTTTTACTCCAGGAAAGGCAGGTATTTCTGAGCAATGAAAATTCTAGCCCAGAGCTGAGCTATCCCCTTCAGCAGGGGGATTCTGAGAATATTAAGCTCCTCCATGAAAGTGACAGGCAGGATGATGGTTCTTCCTGGGTTGGCTGTTGCCTTCCTGGTTATTTACTTAATGAATGATTTGTTTCCTTAGTCACCTGTTGTTGACGATGCCTGGGACGTAGTTGCCCCTGGTGGACAGCTTCCCTGCTGTCCTGATGTTAAATGATTTCTATCTGCAGATTCTTGCATAGTCTCACTGTAGGCTCTTCTCCCTCCTTGGGAGCAGACAATGAGGTCTCCATGGTGCATTTCATAGTCAAAGCCACTTTATCCTCTGGATTCCAGAGTGTCCTCAGCAGGGGTATTTTTGTAAGTGGCCCCTGTTCTGTCCCCTGCCCCCAACACATAGAACCCCAGGACCTCAGACTTCCTTTACTCTCTCTTCTCCCTAACCTGCCTCTCCTCCACTAACAAAAACAGATTTACCTTTCTCAGATTTGCCTGCCACATGGTAACTTGGTATCACATGGTTAGAATTCAATCAGACATCACAGTCACTCTGTATTAAGTAGTTTTCACCCTACTCTGTGTGAATATTCTAGATCTGGAGTCTCCCTGGAAAGTTCAGGCAAATGAGTTATAAACTAAAGAGGGAACAGCCTGGGAAAGCCAGTGGTGGGTAATGGCTGTTCAGAATGCCTTACGCACTACACATTCCTCCATATATTACCTGTGACAAGGCCAGGCAAGAAGGAGTACAGAGCTGAACCACTCTTAAATTAGGCTGGAGGGAGGATTTCTTCAATTAAAATGTTTCAGGGAAGCAAAGAGCAAGAGATCTGCAGATGAAGACATTTAAGAAACATTCAACCATGCTGTTGTATAGACTATGTAGACTTTGAATCCTAAGTTAGTCGAACTGTAAATAACATATGTGTATTTCTTTTTTTTTTTAGAGAGAAAGAGAATTTTTTTTAATATTTATTTTTTAGTTATCGGCGGACACAACATCTTTGTTTGTATGTGGTGCTGAGGATCGAACCCGGGCCGCACGCATGCCGGGCGAGTGCGCTACCGCTTGAGCCACATCCCCAGCCCTTTTTATTTTGAGACAAAGTCTCGCTAAGTTAGTTAGGGCCTCTCTAAATTGCTGAGGCTAGCCTTAAACTTGTGATCCTACTACCTCAACCTCCTGAGTCACTAGAATTACAGGCATACACCACCACAACTATGATTGTACTTTTTAAAAAGTCTTTACCTTCTAAAAATAACAGTTTGAGTTATTTATGAACCAAATGATGTATTAGAACTCTAATCATTATGAAGAGAAATGACACAAACAAAACTAAAATTGGCTATAAGTTGGTCATTGTCAAATTGGTTGAGAGTTTATTATACTTTTTTTTTTTGGTACCAGGGATTGAACTCAGGGATTCTCGATCACTGAGCCACATCCTCAGCCCTTTTTATTTTTATTTAGAGACAAGTTCTCACTAAGTTGCTCAGGGCCTTGATAAGTTGCTGAGGCTGGATTTGAACTGATGATCCTCCTACCTCAGCCTCCTGAGCCAGTGGGATTATAGGTAGGCACCACTATGCCTGGTAAGAGAGTTTATTACACTATTATTTTTGAATTTGTTTAAACTTTGTGGGGAGACTCCAGATCTTGAATATTCACACATAGAGTAAGGATGAAAACATCTGTTTACAGTTTTAAAATCCTTTGGAGGAGTAGGAAGGGCAAGGTAGCCAACAAACCCACTGGCACTTATCCTTGTGTTTGACAGAATCTGAAGAAGGTTACAGATGTGAAAGATGTGGGAAAGTGTTTACCTACAAATACTACAGAGATAAGCACCTCAAGTATACCCCCTGTGTGGACAAGGGTGATAGGAAATTTCCCTGTTCCTTCTGCAATCGATCTTTTGAGAAGCGGGACCGGCTGCGAATCCACATCCTTCACGTTCATGAGAAGCACCGGCCTCACAAGGTGAGTGGGGTGGGGTGGGGTGAATAAGCTGCAGGCCCTGTCACTGCACTCTGCTTTCACACTCCCCACACTCCTGGACACCAGTGGAGGGCCTCCTGGGGGCTGCTTGGAAGGGCACTGCCTGGCAGGGAGCTCTCTGAAGGAGGTAGACAGATATACACCTTAGGTTGGGTGCCAGATTGCTTCCCAGAGAAGGTATCCATTTATGGTCCAGCCACCTGGGCTTATGCAGTAAGCAGCAACTGCTCCTGCCAATAAAACTATCCTTTTTTGATAGATGGGAAAGGGCTTTAGTTTGCATCTTCATTATTAATAAAGTTTAAATTTTAAAAATATATTATTTCTTTCTTTTTTTTTTTTTTATAAAGGGGAGAAGACCTCCCCCTTCTATGAATTCTACCTTTCAGGTTTCCTTTTCCTTGGGGTGAGTGGAGTCTTTTCTGCTCTTTATTTTATTTTTTTTAGAGAGATAATTTTTTAATATTTATTTTTTAGTTTTCAGCGGACACAACATCTTTGTTTGTATGTGGTGCTGAGAATCGAACCCGGGCTGCACACATGCCAGGCGAGTGTGCTATCGCTTGAGCCACATCCCCAGCCCCAAAATATATTTGCCTGTGATTTATCAGGTTTTTTTTTTTTTTTGGGGGGGGGGGTTGATAATTGGGATTGTACCCAGGAGTGCTTTACCACTGAGCTATATCTCTAGCCCTTACACAGCCCCACTAAGTTAACCAGATGGCCTTGAATTTGGGATCTTCCTGTTATCCCTGGGATTTTGGGTTGCACCATAGTCCCCACCAAATAATTGCTTATAAGAATACCTGGTGAGGGGCTGGGATTGTGGCTCAGCGGTAGAGCGCTCGCCTAGCACATGTGAGGCCCTGGGTTCGATCCTCAGCACCACGTAAAAATAAACAAAATAAAGATATTTTTAAAAAAATCGTTTAAAAAAAAAAAGAATACATGGTGAAATTAGCCAAGCTGGGGCTGAGGAGTAGCTCAGGGGAATGCTTAACCATTAAGCCATATCCCCATCCCTTTTTAATATTTTATTTAGAAACAGGGTCTCAGGGAATTGCTTAGGGCCTCACTAAGTTGCTGAGGCTAGTTTTGAACTTGCAATCCTCCTGCCTCGGCCCCCTGAACAGCTAGGATTACAGGTGTGCGCTGCCATTCCCCGTTTACATGTTGAAATTTTTTTCTATGGCTAAGGATATTTTATTTTCATATTAAATTAAAATATTGGCTAGATATAGAATTTTGTTTTTATTCATTGATCTGTTAAATTGATACATAAAAGTTGTCCATTTGTATGAGAGAATTATGTGATGTGTGTGTGTGTGTGTTGACATTGTGTAATGTTAAAATCAGAGTAAGCATATCTACTCAAACATTTGTTGTTTTTGTCTTTCCATTTTTCATATTTCTTTGTGGTGCTGGGGATGGAACCCAGGACCTTGTACAGTACATCCCCAACCCCCTGGCAACCTTTTTGGTGGCTGTGCCTTTAGTAATTTCTTTCACAGTGTGTAACTGAAGTGAGTATGCACTTTGGACCCCCCAAAACTAGCCTTTTTTGTAGGTATTACAGCCTCAGATCACCTGTCTCCCTGCATTGCCATTACAGTTTATATAGTCACCGCCACCCCTACCAGATTTTTAGCCTGTTACTTCTAGCAGAGTGTTAGGCACATAATAAGTACTGCATAAATACTTGAATTAATCACACAGTGCTTGCGGGTTCACTCATGGCCCTGTGAGGAAGGCAGATAGATATTTTGCCCATGAGGAAGAACAGAAAACAAAGATTCAAAGTTTACTGACTTGGTCACACAGCTACTTCTTTTTTTGGTACTGGGGATTTAACCAAGGGGCAATTTACCACAGAGCTGCATCCCCAGCCCTTTTTCTTTATTTTTTAGTTTGGGACAGTCTCACTGAAGTTGCTTAATGTCTCACTAAATTGCTGAGGCTGGCCTGATACTTGCAGTCCTCCTGTCTCAGCCTCCTGAATTGCTTAGGATTATAGGCATGCATCATCATACCTGACTCATGCGAAGCTTCTGACACCAAAAGGTGCTGGATGAAATACCTAAAGTCATAGCATTAGTGTTAATAGAACTGGGCAGAATCTAGACCAAAGCCCGCGCTGCCTGACTCTTCAGCTTACCCCAGATGTCTTTCTACCTCTTCAGTGAACCCTTAGCTTAGGGAGTACAATCGATCCACTGCTTATAGACACACACACACACACAATAAACATAAGAGTTCTTTCAGCCACCAGTGGACAAAATGTCAGGATAGACTTGTTAGAGGAAGACAGGGCTTCAACTCTGTTTTTCTTTCTCACCTAGTGTTCTACATGTGGGAAATGTTTCTCTCAGTCCTCCAGCTTGAACAAGCACATGCGAGTTCACTCTGGAGACAGACCCTACCAGTGTGTGTATTGTACAAAGGTAAGCGGAACCTCCTTCAGAGTGGTATATCTAGCATCCTGCATGGTAATCCATGGGTAAGAATGGGAGTGTAAAGCCTAGTTTATAATGTGTTTTTGGTAAATATTAGTCCAATTAACCAGCCCAATCCCCATTTGCATCCCACAAATATGTTCCAGATGGTCTAAAGAGGCTAAAGATGGTCAGACATGACCTCCTATTACCAAGCTGGCATTTGGAACATGTGTAATAAACTATACCCTAAATTATAATTATAGAGATCTGATGATCACAGAGACAGAATTTAAGAGCATGACTGGGTGCAGTGGCACACGCCTGTGATCCCAGCGGCTCGGGAGGCCAGGGCAGGAGGATCACAAGTTCAAAGCCAGCCTCAGCAAAAGCGAGGTGCCAAACAACTCAGTGAGACCCTGTCTCTAAATAAAATACAAAATAGGGCTGGGGGGCTGGGGATGTGGCTCAAGTGGTAGCGCGCTCATCTGGCATGCGTGCGGCCCGGGTTCGATCCTCAGCACCACGTACAAACAAAGATGTTGTGTCAGCCAATAACTAAAAAAATAAATATTAAAAAAAAAAAAAAAAAAAACAATAGGGCTGGGGATGTGGCCCAGTGGTCAGTGCCCCTGAGTTCAATCCCCATACCCACCCACCCCCCAAAAAAAGAATTTAAGAGCATGGACTTGGCCAAGGTTCAAAGAGCATAGCATGATGGACTTGGACTTGGTTGTAACCTCGTGTAACCTTGTGAAAATTCATTAACTTCTCCATGGTTTAGTTTCCTCATTGGTAAAATGGGAGAAAATAGTCTTCACAGAGTTTTTAGGTTAAATGTGTAAAACTCACTTAATTGTGCTTGACATATGGTAGCCACTATTGAAATGTTTTCTACTATTATTTCTACTTAAATGTATGAAGACTTAATTGGGAATGCTGCTGATGTAGCTTTCTAGAGAGACATGGTGGGCGACTTCTAATCTATGTTACACAGAATATAGAGTTATAAAAACAGGGAGGGGGAGAAAAAGAAGACAAAAATGGAGAGGGATTAGAAGTGAGAGATTGCTGGAATAGAGATAATTTGTTCATGCTTTAGGAAAAATATAACAAAATAACCTCCTTCTGTTTTGATAATAAGCATCTATACTGTCCAATGTGTACCCATCGCCGTATGTGGCTATTTGAATTCATAAAAACGAAATAAATTGAAAATTCTGTTCTTAGGTTGCACTTGGCACATTTTAAACTCAGTGGCCATACATGGCTAGCAACAGCCACGTTGGATAGCACAGGTACTGAAAGAGCATGGCCGCCATTGCAAAGTCCTGTTGGAGAGCACTGGTAGACTATGCTTCTATCAGTGTCATGAAACAGACGGGTGCATCACACTTGTGCTGAATACTGCTCAGCAATAAAAGAGGAAGGAACTGTTTGAGCACAGCAACCTCAGTAAACCTCAGCAAATCCTAGAAGGTTACCGATGATACGATTCCATGGATAGAACATTCTTGAAATGACAAAGTTATAGAAGTAGAGAGTAGATGAGTGGTTGTCATGGTTTAAAAAGAAAGTGGGAATGGAAGGGAATTTGGTGTGCTCACAAAAGAACACTATGGTGGGGGGAGGGTATCCTGGGGAAGAAAATGTTTTGACTCTGTCAATGTCAACATCCTGATTGTGATGTTATAATATAGTTTTGGTGTAAGACATAACCATTGAGGGAAACTGGGTAAAGGGTCTATGTTTTTATTTACTATTGACTATAAATCTATAGTTATCTCAAAGTTTAAATTAAAAAAGGAAAACTAATAAGGCACTGACTTATGCAAAGACATTAGCCTATACTAACCTGTCCTTTGGTAATGCAGTTTGTCTTGAAGGATGTCTTATTTAAATGCTGGCTCCTGGGTCTTGTGTCATGTTTTTTTGGGTGTCACGCTCTCTAGGGTAGAATTGATAATGTTTTATTGGGTTTTGGGAGGTTTTTTTGGTAATTTTGCTTTTGAGTTTTGGGGGGGATTTTTTTTTTTTAAATCTTTTTGTGGTGCTTGGGTTTGAACCCAGGCCTTTGTGCATACTAGGAATCACTCAACTACTGACCTACACCCCAGCCTGCAATCTGCATTTTTAACTGGAGTTCCCAGTGATCATAGCCAGGGCTACTCAAAACTAGCCAGAATGACAAAGCAGTCTAGTTCTTTTTGATAAGGCTTCTGCTGCCACCTTGAATCTAAGATATTTGTTCATTGGAGAGGTAATGGAATGACATCCATATTAGCAACAAGGAACTGGGTACTATCGGGCCTATCTGTAATCCCAGCTTCTTGGGAGGCTGAGTGAGGCATGAGGATCACAAGTTCGGGATCAGCCTGGACAATTTTGCAGATCTTGTCTCAAAATGAAATTTAAGAAGGGCTGGGGGTTGTAGCTCAGCGGGGGAGCACTGGTTTACAAGGGGTGGGGGTTGGGGGGTTCCTGGGGGTAGATTTATTTATGCCTTTCTTAACAAGTTGACCAGCCCACAGAAATTGGCTTTTTTCCTTCTGCTTTCTGTTCTCTGCAGAAGTTCACTGCCTCCAGCATACTCCGCACACACATTAGGCAGCATTCTGGGGAGAAGCCCTTCAAGTGCAAGTACTGTGGGAAATCCTTCGCTTCCCATGCTGCCCATGACAGTCATGTCCGGCGCTCTCACAAGGAAGATGACGGTGGCTCCTGCCTCATTTGTGGGAGAACCTTCCCAGATTCAGATGCTCTTTATTGCCACATGCAGTTTCATGGAAACCTCTAGCCATCCAAGTGAAGCAGTGTGAGAATGGAGCAGTGTGAAAACCAAGGACTTGGATGCCCTCCTTCTGGTTTTGTTATAGGTGTGTCATAGGAACAACTGGTCATCCTATTGAACTGGCCTATCTGCTGAACTTACCAGAATATTGACTGTGGCTTTTGCCGAAAGGTCTTTCACAATTGTTCATGAGACTAGAATGCTGATCAGCTTACCTACAAATAGTGAGAGCTGCAGGGTGACAGTGCCTGAGGGCCTGAAGATCCAACAGAAGCCCCCAGAGCATCCATCCAAGTCCCTGAAGCTCGGGGATGACAGACCAAGTCCTAGGTTTCATAATCAAAGAAAAGAAGATCTTCTCTCTGCTATTTGCTGTGGGTCCTTGATTGTACTGTCTGTGGCTGTCAACTGTTGAATTTCTTCACAGAACAAATTTTCCTAATATTCACCCAAGCCAGAACTTTTTCAGATGTGAATTAGTCTTTGATATTTATTTGGATTCATTTTAAATCTTTTGTTCCTACCCCTCCCCCACCACACGATAAATGTATGTTTAGCACCAAACAGAATTAGAGGGCACAGCCATTACCAGTTGCAGAAGAAAAATCATAGCCAAATGAAGAAAGCCTAAAATAATAAACATTTATGTTGCTCTGGCTTTAATTCTGATTTCATTCCTGATAAAGAAAGTGGACTACTTTTTCCCATGTCTTTCTGTCTTTCCAGGATCAGGGTAACACAGAGTGCAAAAATAAATAAATAAAAGAGGCCTGCTGAAAAAAAGATAAAGGTACAAGGTATCCCAAGGCTGATGTTGGGGGTGGGACTCAGCTTTTCTAATGTGCAGAGAGATGGTCTCACCTCGTGTGGGTAGTAATAGACTTGTTTGTTGAGCATCAACCCTACATGATGGTACCACTCACTGAGTGTGTCACTGTATAGCAATTGAAGCTGAGATGAAGGAAGTAGTGGGAGATCACTCCCACTTTGGAGTAGGATTGACTCTAAAGATTAACCTCTTTTGATTGAACTCAGGGGCATTCGACCACCGACCACCACATCCCCAAGCCCCTATTTTATATTTTACTTCAAGACAGGGTCTCACTGAATTACTTATGGCCTCACTGTTGCTGAGGCTGACTTTGAACTTGGGATCCTCCTGTCTCTGCCTCCTAAGCCACTGGGATTATAGGTGTGCACTACCACACCTGGCAAGACCAACTTCTTAACCACTATGGTCAGTTTATGAAATCCTGCTATTAACTATCACATCTTTCCCTACACCAAGGCAAACAACAAAACACTTTTTAACTTCTATATCACAGTGGAATGCATTACAATTCTTATTACACATAAGCACAATTTTTCATATCTCTGGTTGTATACAAAGTATATTCATACCAATTCGTGTCTTCACAAATAATGATCATCACATTCCACCATCATAAAATATTCACACAAAGTAAAGGCTCTGCAAGCAACCTGAGCTACTAAGGATGTGTCCCAGCCCTGGTCGTGGTTTTGTTGACCACCCAAGGGTTTAGGGGTTTGCTTCTCCCTGTAGCCATAACCCACTGTCTCAGAGTGGTGCAAATTCAATATTGAACAGATGTGCCTTCCAGAGGGAGGCTCCCAGCAATAGCAGGGTCCTTTGAGCAATAGATATATGCAGGTGGAAAAGCAGTGACAGATTTTACTCCAGGGAATTCTTTGCTGCCTTGACTAGGTCTGAGTAATTTATCCTAATGGGAATGTGCCCTGTTGTTTTCAGACTATTTTAGTTCATGTTAATTAAGTCAGAACAATGGTCTTGAAAAGATTGGGGGGAGGGCTCATCATGTAATTAGGCAGCCTTTCTTTCACTGCAAGTTCAAAATATATTACTTAAAACACTTCTTACTGCATAGGGGTTTGAATATTGTCCTTTTGTTTTTTAAAATATTTAAAGTTTTAGATGGACACAATACCTTTATTTATTTTTACGTGGTGCTGAGGATCGAACCCAGTGCCTCACGCATGCTAGGCAAGCGCTCTAACACTGAGCCACAACCACAGCCTTTGAATATTGTTTTTAAATTGAATAGTAGAATAAGTCCCCAGAAATTGATATGACCCCCATTTTTTCATTCATTGAAAAAAATCAAACTATTTTCTTTTTTTGCAATTGAATAACAGCAAATGCAGGTGAGTTTTTGTTTGTTTGTTTCATTTTGCTATCCAATAGTCACCCAAATATATTCATGCCAAATAATACATGCACGCCACACAGGAAAAATTTTTGTTTTCTGGTATGGGGGATTGAACCCAGGGCACTCGACCACTGAGCCACATCCCCAGTCCTATTTTGTATTTTATTTAGAGACAGGGTCTCACTGAGTTGCTTAAGGCCTCACTGTTGCTGAGGCTGCCTTTGAACTTGCCATCCTTCTGCCTCAGCCTCCTGAGCTGCTGGGATTACAGGCATGCACCGCCACTCCTGCCATACTGGAAATTTCTGAGAATCACTTCATTCAATCTGATCTGTTTGAAAAGTTTTGAATAATTTATCTGGTTACCTATCTCAGTTTTTGGTTTTGGAAATAAAGTCAGTCATAATATCTTTCTTGATAATTAATCTGAAGCTTTTTTATGTTTATTTCTGTGTATGTCACCTCTCTAAATATGATTTGAACCAGCTTGTAGCAATAATAAAGTTGAAGACAAACCACTTCATAGAAAGTAGAATTGAGATGGGGCTGTGGTTGTGGCTCAGTGGTAGAGCGCTTGCCTCGAATGTGTGACTCACTGGATTCAAGTCTCAGCATCGCATATAAATAAATGAATAAAATAAAAGTCCATCAACAACAACAAAAAAAAAAAAGAAAAAAAAGAAAGTAGAATGGGATTAAAACTCTGAACTAATATAATTGTGATGACTAAAAAGTGTTACAAGCACCAAACTATATAAAAATATAGAATTTTGGAGTTGCCCCACTATTTCCTCATTGTATAAAGTTGATCAAGTCATTTAATTTCTGAGGTCTTACATCTTCATCCATAAAATAAGGCAATAATTATTTTGTAGGGTGTTATGAAAATTAAATGAGACTGTGTATACTGGGTGATGCTTGATAAATATTTCCTTCTCTTTAACTGTTACCATAAAAGGTAGCTGAGTATAGAGGCACACATCTGTAATCCCAGCAACTCAGGAGGCTGAGGCAGGAGGATTGAACGTTCCAGACCAGCTTGGGCAATTTAGTGAGACCTTCTTTCAAAATTGAAAATTAGGGCTGAGAATGTAGTTCAATGGTAGAGTGCTCCTGGGTTCAATCCCCAGTACCCCCAAAATGAAAATTCTCTTGACTTGACCCATTTTTTTACTGAATCCAAAATTTTGGGGAAGTGGAGTTCAGCAGTCCATAATGAGTTCAGGAACCATTACTTTATTTGATTTCACCCAGTTCCTGAAACAGCAGTGAATGAAAGTTAGTAGCATGGCAAAAATCACAAAGCCATATATTAGGAGAAAGCATTAGCATGTAGATTGCAGGCAGAGCAATATACTTGCTTACTGGGGTTAGTGGAAAAGTATAGAATACATTTGGTCATTTTACTGTTGTAAATAAGGAACTCCGCAGCTATGGAGCCTTGTTCTGGAAACTACTGTTAGTTTCTCTGCTCATACTTATTTGCCCCACCTGATTCTATCTGCTAAATGATTGTTCATTCCTTAGAGTTAAACAAAAAATGTATAAAAAGGGACATTTGAAACCCTATAAAAATGAGGCTCGAAGTCGAGTGGCATCAGTGATATTGATGGAGCACTTAATGGGCCCTCAGGGTGTCCTAGGACCTGGGGAAGTTGTCAGTTGCACAGCGAACAAAACTGTCAAAGTAGACAGATGCCTGGGACCCCAGTGGGCCTGCGGTAGGCTCAGTATTGTGGCCATAAATTCAGCTTAGTTTTTTACACAGGCAAAATACAGGAAAGATTGGGAGGAGCTGCCATTCACAGTATAATAGAGCTGAGATCACGAGTACCATCCTAGACCATCTACTACTGGGGGGGTCAAGTTTTGACATGGTAGGTTGTAAGTGCTTTCAGAATTTCTTGACTTGTATCGGGGCAGTAATTGCATAACTTTGTTATGAACAAAGTTCAGGAGAACAAATTTGTACGTTGAATTCTTTCAGTAGAGACTAGGTACCATGATTCTACAATATCTTCTTATAGAACTACTCCTGCCTCTACACGGTACTAGAAATCATACCCAGGCCCTCATGCGTGGTAGTCTAGTGCTCTACCATTGAGCTATATCCACAGTCCTTTCAGAACTTTTTCACTGACAAATATTAAGAAAAAATAACCAAAATTATTTTAAAAGAAAAAGAATACAGAAATAACTGCCAATTTCTCTGTAAAATATGGGAATTCCATGAGGGAACACATTTTTCTCTATGATTTAAAGAAATTACATATTCAGGAAATTGCTTCCATTTGTTAATGCAAACAATTTTCACCTTATTGGTTTGTTGGCTTAAGTAATTAAAATTATAGTATTTTGAAATGAGATACTTAGCCCTAATTACTAAGGTAATGGTTAGGGAGAAGATTGTGGTTCTATTTTTGTATATGATATGATCTCAGGATAATATATTCTTTTCACTTTCATTCTTTTTCATCCAAATTATCAGAATTCTTATCTGGGAACAGGGGATGTAGCTCAGGCATAGAGCTCTTGCCTAACATGCACAAAGACCTGAGTTCAAATCTGTAGTAAAACACACACACACACACACACACACAAAAGCTAAAAGGATTTTTATCGGAGCACAGATAGAATCCCAGCCATTCAAGAGGTCAAGGCAAGGGAATCTCTAGTTCAAGCCCAGCCTAGGCAACAGAGACCCTATCTCAATAAATAAATAAATAAATAAGAATTTTTGAGATACATTGCTTATATATTAAAAAGTAGGGTAAATTGTGCTCTAACATTATGTAAATTCTTTATAGATTTACATCCTTTGTTCTGGATTTATTTCTAGCATAGTACTTTGTGTTGAAATCAGTTCCCTATCAAGAAAATACAATATCAGGGTGGGTATGGTGGTTCACACCTATAATCCCAGCACCAAGAGGCTGAGACAGGAGGATCACAAATTGTATCACAAATTTAGTGAGATCCTCAGCAACTTAGCGAGACCCTGTATATGTGTACCCCCCGACATATGTGTGTATATGTGTGTGTCGGTGTGTAATATCAAAGGGGTTGGCATCTCATTCTTGATTTTTATAAATTCCTTAAAAGTGCTAATATTACTCTTCTTGCTTTCATATGTGTTCATATATCTATGTGAATTATTTTTTAAGTGCTAATAAAAATAGTAGGCAAGATTTAGGATCAAATTTGTGATTTTTCCCCATTATTAACCAATTCATCTAGTGAGATTCAGTAGAGAGGGAAAACATGATAAAGTCACTCACTCATTATCCTTGATACATATATACTTTTTTAACCAGAGGTTGAACTCACTGTGGCTGAGGCTGGAGGCTGGCTGCCTTAGCCTCCAGAGTTGCTAGGATTAGAGGCCTGC